CGTCTTAGTTTTTTATAGTAAGGCTTTATGTTTTAATTTCAATTTAAAAACAAATTAGAATACTATACGAGTTCTTGATCTGCGTCAATGAATCGGTTTAGATAGATTTTGGTTTTAATTTTTAACAAACTTACATACCTTTTTAGGTATGTCAAAATTCTTCTAAAAATTTTAGAGAAATCGAAAGTCTTTATAAACATAACATTATTTCAAATTTAGTAGGGATGGGTTGTGTAAAATCAGTCATGAGTCTTATCGATTTTTATTCTTATAGAAGTTGGTATCGATAGATTTATAGTTATAATTTACGAATTTAAAAATCAACACTGTTTTCTCAAATTAATAATGACCATAACAAATAATGAGAGTAAATAAATATTTATTACTATTACAGCCGTACGTAATCGAATTGGATTTCGCTATTATTTCTGTCATCGCTAAATTCTCTACACTATAATCAATACTAGAATTGTCTTATAAATTACTTAATAAGAAAATAATAATTTTAGTTGAGTCCGATATTTGTTTAAACCGAATATCGATAGTTCATAATTGTTCGCTGCGTGTTTCGTCACTACGATACCTGTCTATTAAGTATGGCATTTGTCTTCATACAAATTGAATTGGATACTTCATATGCGACATAATCAAACTAATCTTATTTAGACAAACTATAAAATAAAAGAGAGTTATATTGTAACTATTATAGTTAATACAATTACCTTATAAGAATCCAATAGGTATAAATTGTAAGAAATCTTCTTTTTCACCCATCATTCACAATAAAACAAAAAAGTTTTCATTGTTTTATAAAACACTGGCAACTAAAGATCACATAAATCAAAGATTAAAATGATACTTATTTATCACTCATTATAATAATTAAATAATCGTTAATTATTCGAATAGTTATTGAAACAATAAAATGACAGTAACACCAAAGACTAAAATTTTAATCACATTTCGATGCGATTAAAATGCGAAAAATCCATAGATAATTTTTTTAATACGTTATGACGTTACGGACGTCGGCGCTTGACTGACAGGCATCGAGCTTTTGTCCCGTTCCCTCTGTATCCGGAGGGAATAGGGAGGGACGGGGGCTTGTGGATTATCCCAACTGGTACAGCGTGATAACTTCAAAATGACACGTCTGTTTTTCAGGTAATAATTTAACTTTATGGTAAAAGCTTTTAAAGGTTTATAGTCGCAAAATAACCGTTATAAAGACGGGAATAGCTATCGTTATTTGACGACAATCATACTAAGGTTGTGAATGCGAAAATTTAGATGGATGGATGTTTGTTAGAGTTTGTAGCCTATACGACTGAACGGATATCGATGTAATTTGGTATAGATGTAAAAGATAGTCTGGAAGAACACATAGGCTACTCACTTTTGTTTATTTTAATTCCACGGAGACGGAGTCGCGAGCGAAAGTTGTTTATAAATATGATTAATAAAATTATGTAATAGTATGTCATTTTAATTTTCATTAGTATATATGATGGGTCTTTTTATTTAGGGGGTTTAAAAACTTGTTTGATTTCAAAATTCGTCAAATAATAAATTAATTATACTGAATTTTACTACTTTAGTACTACCATCAATGTATCATTATTCACGTAAATTACATAAACAAGAAACAATGTTTTGCCTAAAAAAAAGCGTTTAAAACCTGCAACTACGCCAGTGCATCCCAAAATAAACATTTTATATTTTTAATTTAAGAAATATGAAAATATCGCGTCAAACCATAATAAAATTACCACGTAGAACTGGCCGTAAACAAACAAAGCGCGGAGAAACGAGTTTCCTATAAAAAAGTTAAGCACAAACGTCATTTGCATCTGACGTTTGCCTCTTCCCGCCTCCGACGAGTGAGAGGTCGCTATTGGCTGCGTGACGGCCAATCGACTTCAACGCGACCGGCTTTACAAATGTGATTCCATTTTCAAAAATTCAATGAAATTCTGATTGATACGATTTGATTGTTGCCAAGATATTTATGAAAAATTATAATAAAAGAAGCTTATTGAAATCGCGTTGACTACTTTTGTAAGTACGATAAAATTATTATTTATTTTATATATTATTCCTTGAGTTTATCCTAAGATTTGTTTATAGAAATTCGATAACAAATGTTAACAGGACTAAAAAATATTGTCAAAACGTTAATCGAATGTTTTGTATTATTGTGTATGTTTTGTCTCCTGAGTTCTGAAACATTTCTTTTTATTGGTTTCCCTTTATTAACAGTAACAGAATTCGACTTTGGCAACACACTTCACATAGTTATCTAAAGTCATTTAACCTAATCCTCGAGCGCTAATAAAATTTGAATTTTATTAGCGCTCGAGGATCATGCAACAGTTTGTTTTTACATATTTAAAAATCTATATCCGCTTCCCCCACCGATGTAAAGGTAACCACATAACATTTTTTTCTTCTTATCATCAAAGCTTTGCATCCCAATAGGTCTTTACGACGCTCGAGTAAATCCCCATTTAGCGTCGTGGGCTCCCTACTATTAAGATTTATAGGTCGAACCTTCTAGAACTAAAAGTTCTATAACTGGGTATTCGACATCATCTCCCCTGCCTTATCCTACTCCCGTAGGGTCGGCGCACCGGGTTTTTGTCCTGCAAAGCACTCTATCATCCGTCATCTCAGTCATCACTCCCTTCTTGATCATGTCACCTTTCACACAATCTATCTCTTTCTATGTCTACCTCTACCGGTGTACCTCCACATTCATAACTAACGTCCGTCTTGTTACATGCGATTCATCCCTTCTCATAACATGCCCATACCACTCTAACCTTATTGCATTATCAATTTAGGTGATTTCGAATTTAAAAGCCGTCTACCTTCTTTCAATTATGTTAAACTATTGTAATTTTTTATTTAAGTAAAAGTGGTCATGACATATACATCCCAAAAATGGAAATAACTATAAAAACTAACCCTATACCTAGCCTAGATAGCAATTAGCGTGGCGACTGGATAACTGGCAACGCCCGTAGTATAATTTATTCAGAAATATTTGCTCATTGACAACTGAGTACATATGTTAAAATATAAGTTTGTTAAAAACATATTGCTACAAACTCTAACGTTTACAGTATAGCTTTCGCCCACGACTCCGTCTGCGTAGAATTATAAACAAAAGTAAGTAGCCTATGTGTTCTAGAGTATGCTCTATATGCCAAATTTCATCAAGATCCGTTCAACGGTTTAGGATACAGACTAACAAACATCCATCTAAACTTTCGCATTTATAATATTAGTATGTTGTTAAGTGTTCGTTATCGTGATCTTCGTTTTAATAATTACACAACTTTGTGCAGTTATTATCTAGAAATAATAACTGAACTGAACGTCGGAGTTGCTCGGCTGCGTTTCCGAACAAATTTGACTAATTACGTTTCGCCCTCGCGCCAAAAAAAGTTAGCACAGATAATAAAATGTATTTATTTTTAATTTTAAACTCGTGTTAAACATTTTGTTATGTGCCAGTATTTTTTAATTACGGTGGAATTTTTAATATATCGGATTGTTTTTCAAAAATCCTTTAGATTTTGTATACGAAAAGTAATTTATAATAGAATATGCTTGATAATTAATTAAAATTATGAAATATTTGCGGTTCTGAAATATTTTATTTAACTGGATTTACTTCAAAAAGGTAAGACTTTTACCACAATTCGGATACTATCGTGTAATAAATCAACATTTTCTCGAAATAATAATCCCTAGTTTAGTGTATTTTATTTATAAATCACAGAAACAAAGGTAATAAGCGTCGCCGTCGACGCGGGCTCGTTAGCGCGGCACGTGGCGCCTCCTGGTGGCAGCGCGTTGACGCGTTGTTATTAGGATATGTTTTATTGTTATTCCGATATCCGCTGAATATGAATTTATTCACGCTAGAACCTAAAAGGGTAGGCACAGTTTTATTATTTCATTAAATTATAAGTATTGTTCGTATCAAATCCCTTTTAAACTACCATATATGCTGGTGACGTCATCTGTCGTTTGCTCATCGGATAGGACTGACTTCCTGGCATGCCACCATGACAGTAGACAACAATGTTCATATACTACAGTAAAGTTTAAGATTTTTTTCTTTCAAATCTTATCAGATTTGATTTACTAAACTACTCGATTATCAAGTCTATATGACGTCGCCTTGCTCGCCTCGAAATAACCTTTGACTAAACTATAGCACAACTGTTATGCAACTGTCAATTGTTTCGCCAATTCAACTGTTTAGTTGTACAATTAAAAATTGAGCAGTATGCCCACCTCCATATAAGATCATAGGACTAAACAGTTGTGCGACAGTTTGGTCAGTCTTAAAAAAACAGAATACTTTCCCATGCCGCAGGGCGTTTTATAATTGTCCCGCGTGACATTGTGTGTAATGAAGGGCGTATGACATTCACAGGACCACCGCGGTGATCACACACGGTCCCAAATATACAATTAGTGCTGTATTTAAACGCAAGGAGACAAATGGTAAAACATTTCACTAAATAATAAGTGAAAACTGAACAAACCGAAACTCAGATTAGTTTTTCTATTCAAGTAATCACTCAGACTTCTTAGGTTGTTTAATTGCGTTTTTTAACTCTGAATTTATAACTAATGAAATAAAAAAAAATTGTTTAAAGCGCCATCTAGTGGAGGTGTCTTAAATCTATTTTTATTCTATTCAACAATAGATGTCACTAAAATGCATTGCCATCTTTGGACGAATAGAAAAACCAAATTGATTATTTTCTATTCACTAACAGATAGCGCTGTGCGTTGTCTTTCCAATCCACTAGATGGCATTAAATGTTATTTCTCGTAGAATCTTAGGTTTTGTAAAAAGTATTTTTTTAACAAAGCGTAAAAATCAACAATGTAGTTTTCGGTCAAACGTCTGAACTAAGCATTTATTTCTTAATGGAATAAGTCTTATCTAAGTAAGGAAACAAAATAAATAATATAGATTATCTTAAAAAAATATTTATTTATACTCTTAATTTTATAACCTTACAATAAATTTTAATATAATTAAAAAGCCAATCTCTTCATTAGTAGATACATGTGCTGGTCAACTTCGAAGCCGTGTAAATTGTTAGCATCCCCTTGCAGTCGCATTAGAAGGCCACCAAAGGAGACATAAGCAGCCAACCTAGACGCTGGCTCCATTGCTGCTTCATCTCCTTCTATCCTGAAATAATGAACATATAAATATTATAAATGCAAAAGTTTAGATGGATGGTTAGATTGTAGACTATTGCTGAACGGATCTTGATGAAAGTCATAGATGTAGAGGCTAGTCTGGAACACAGGGGGTAAATATTTGGATAAAAACCCTAATTTAAGAAAGAGACCATAAGTTGCTGCCAACATCAAGGAAGCAAGATTGCCAAGTTTTGTCATGTCATGTCATTTTGACATTTGCAATTGACAATTTGACACATGTAAACAATAAAATAATATTATGCTGATGAAATTGCACGGGAACAGCTAGTTAAGTAATAATGCAGACAGAGTTGAATGAAATCTAGTTGTAAATACATAAAATGTATTTGTACCACTTTTTAAAGGAAATCACAAAGTGATAAATTTGAACGACACAATTACAGTTAATATTAAGTGCTAAAAGATATTTTAAATCAAAAAATATAATGGATGTTTGAATATTAAAATATGCTAACTTATATGAAAAAATAGGCGTTGTTGGAAACTTGGCCAATATCGGTCTCAAAAGGAAGTACAAGCATTATTCCACTCTTTGTTCTACAATTCGATGTATAATTATTTGTAGTAACAATTAGTATAATAATTCATTGAAAATAAAAGATCTAAATTTAGTCTATATAGGTTTCTTGGTTAGTTGAACCATATTAACAAATTTCTTAGTAAGGTTTTGTGGTTAAATAATTTTAAATTAGATATTACAACTTTCTGTTTAAATACCAAAATTTATAAGTCAACAACTAACCTATACACTTTCCCCGACATAACATACTCAAAACTGTCTGCTCTGTTTCCTTCCGTTTCTAAAGGATTCCATTCCCCTCCATCAGGATAACCGTTCTCTCTGAGTGTCGTAGCTAACACTAATCTAAACTTATCTCCCAATTCCATGGGATAAATCCACGAATTAATATCCAATATTAAATCCATTTTGAATGATTCCGATTCGCAATGTAATCGACTGACTCGATCGAATTTCTTTCCTTCGGGATCCATGTCTTTTACATTAAATATATCTTCAAATAGTACGCCTGCCATAATTATTGCGTCAATTTATTTCAATTTTTAGAAACTACAATAACAATACACCACGCCGCTTTTTTTCAATTTAACAATGACAATGACAGTGACATTAAGGGATTGCATAATTTCGCGAATTAAAATCTATGGTTGAAAAAAAAATCGATTTACGCGGTATATGTAAGGTTTAGATATTTAAAAATATTATACACTATTAGTTAATTTTAATATTATAATATAAGATAAATGAATAGCTCTCGAAATCAATTTATTATCGGCGATCCCTTTTTTAATGATCTTTAAAGATCATTCTAAATAACCATAAACAAAATTCGATAGTTCAACGAAGAAGTGTCAGACCCATCCCTACCGCACAAACGCAAACGAACGACATCGTGAATCTAACCTATTTAATCGGCACGTGTATTATATTGATGCGATAAATGTGTATTTAATAGTAATTATTCTATTTTCATATCAAATTTTGTGTTATTTGAACATTCGCAACAATGACGGAGGTATTGCAACCGGGTACCGAAGTGTTTTCTGAGAAAAAGAAGAAGAAAAGCAAGGAGCAAGTGACGCTGGGCGCATTTCAAAAGCTTGGAGACTTTAAAATCGAACCTTCGGAATGTGTTAGCAAATTAGACACGGCATACTGGCCTCTGTTACTGAAGAATTTCGATAGACTTAACGTACGTACCAACCATTATACACCGTTGCCTTACGGTCATTCTCCCTTGAAGCGCCCTATTGCCGATTATGTTAAGTCTGGGTTTATTAACGTGGATAAACCGAGTAACCCGAGTTCTCATGAAGTTGTATCATGGATTAAACGCATCCTCAAAGTTGAAAAGACCGGACACAGCGGCACACTCGATCCTAAAGTGACTGGTTGCTTGATTGTATGCGTAGATAGAGCCACGAGGTTGGTTAAATCCCAGCAGAACGCTGGTAAAGAGTACGTAGCCGTGTTCAGCCTACATTCCGCTGTGGAAAGCATAAAAAAAGTAACACAAGGCCTTGAGAAACTCCGTGGAGCGTTATTCCAACGTCCTCCACTGATATCTGCAGTCAAAAGACAACTTCGTGTCAGATCTGTGTATGACAGTAAACTTCTAGACTTTGATGAGGAGAAGAACATTGGTGTATTCTGGGTTAGTTGTGAGGCTGGCTCTTATATCCGTACAATGTGTGTGCATTTAGGTTTGATGCTTGGTGTTGGTGGACAGATGATTGAACTACGTAGAGTACGCTCCGGTATTCAAGGGGAGAAAGAAGGTATGGTGACGATGCATGATATCTTAGACGCACAATGGGCATATGAGAACCATAAAGACGAAACTTATCTCCGTCGAGTTATTAAACCTCTGGAAGGTTTGTTAGTCGCACATAAGAGAATATTCATCAAAGACAGTGCGGTTAACGCTGTATGTTATGGTGCTAAAGTCCTTCTACCAGGTGTTCTGAGATACGAAGACGGTATAGAAATAGATCAAGAAATAGTTATAGTAACGACCAAAGGTGAAGCAGTGGCGCTAGCTGTTGCACTGATGACAACAGCGACTATGGCTTCCTGTGACCATGGCGTAGTAGCTAAATTGAAACGAGTAATCATGGAAAGAGATACATATCCGAGAAAATGGGGTCTCGGACCAAAAGCCTCGCAGAAGAAACAGTTAATCCAGCTTGGTAAACTTGACAAATATGGCAAACCGAATGAGAACACACCATCAGAATGGCTGAACAGTTATGTAGACTTTAAAGGGAAGAAAGCAGCGGAGAAGGAAGAAAATGGTGAAGAGATGGATGTGGATAGTAGAAAACGTACAGCAAGTACAGCGAATGCTGATGATCTTGATAATTCAGTAGATGCAAAGGCTGAAAAAAAGAAGAAAAAGAAAAAACGTGATCAAGAAGAAAATGAAGGCGATGTGACAGTTGAGGGAGCGACAGAAGAACAAACTGCAGATGATTCTGTACGTAAAGAGAAGAAAAAGAAAAAAAAGAAGGACAAAGACAATGAAAAACAAGAAGAATAAAAGTTATGGACAATTTTTGAATTTAGAATGTTAAAGTTTTTTTTTAAGTGAATTAATAGCATAAATCTTAAAGAGCCTGGCTGCCAGTATCTTTGCTTTCAAGTTTAATATGTTGAACAAATTGTATTATTTAATACAAATTAATGCATTCTTGTTAACAATCAAATACAGCATATTAGTTAATAAATTGGGTACATATTGGTGCCAATTATTGAGAGATTGAGAATTAAATTTAAAATGAAATACAGTGTTTTTTCACATTCTGTTACAGCCGTTTTGTGTCATTTATAACTATGGTTGCTATTTTTTATGTTGATTGAAAAAAGTGCATTTTAATAACCAGTTTTGGTATTGCTTGTCACCGTTTTAGTTTTTTAAAATAATGTGCCCATTTTCAAATGTTTCGGGTTCTTACATTCAGCCACTTTCTATTGATAAGTTTAATTTTAGTTATAAGAAGAAAGAATCAGACCTAATTTTGTTTATAAAGTTAAGTATAAGTTAGGAAATAAGAGAATTTCTATAGATATATAAATGTGAAATAATTGTAAGGATAAACATTATAATTTCATGGAAAAAAACCATTTGTTTGATTTCTCTTATGTTTATTTTTTATTTAATATTGAGTGGCCACACTTTATTCCGAATTAATCGAAATAATTCTGAATGACATCATAATCATACTAATATTTTAAATGCGAAAGCTTGATGGATGTATCGATATTTGTTAGAATTTGTAGCCTAAACAGCTGAACGGATTTCGATGTAACTTGGTATAGATGTAGAGGATAGTTTGGAAGAACACAAAGGCTACTCACTTTTTTTTAATTCACGTGGATTAAGTCGCGGGCGAAAGCTAGTGTTAATATATTGGCCATATACATAGGAAGTCGCGAGGAGGGAGCAGCTCACCTTGTGTTATCAATAAAGTTTAAATAGATATAAAAACTACTTCGAATAAGGCTATAACTCAATAAAAATGATATAAACCGCCGAATCCCGCTTCTCCTACAATGCTAGATTACATGTAAAAACTTAGTCATTTAAGTTACTGTCTACTACGAGGTCTTGGCAATTACAAGGCACCATCATTGTAAAAGACCACTTGCTAAATATCACATTTCTATGTAAATCTAACCAAAGCCCTCAAGAGAAGCTTTATGATATCTTGTAATTTACAAGGATTCATAATAGACACTAAGTAAAATTACTAGGTTTTAGACATAATCTAGCATACTTTTGTAGGGGAAGTGGGACTCAGTTTTTTATATTTTATATGTTTTGTGGTATCGAATTACTTAAAGCTTATTACATTTTATGCCTTTATGATATAAATAGTTAATTACAGTAAAATAATGTACATGATATTCTTAATTTTTATAATCTTTTATTAAGTGGTTTTAGAAGCTGACAACCCTATCCAAATGTCAAAACGCCGTGTCAAAAAATGAGATTTGTTTTGTTGTTAAGATTGTAATTTTAATAGTTTTGAAAAGTATTAAAAAATACTATAATGTCTTTACATTCTACGGCAATTGATTCAAATCTGTATACATATGAATATTTTCAACAAGATGATGTATGCAGATTATGCTGGAACAAACATGCAGAAAGGGAATTAATTTCTAAAAATTCAGACGATATAACTTTTATTAAAAACCAGTTAATAGATAAAATACTTTATTGTTTAAATATAGATATAACAGAAGTGGATCTCCCGAGTAAAGCATGTGAAAACTGTGTCGATCTCCTTGATAAGTTTTACGATTATAAAATATTTTGCAGCGAAACCGATAAAAAGCTTCGCGAAATTTTATCAGGTAAATCAAATGATACAAACGAAAGTTGTGTTAAATTAGAGAACAACACATTTGAATTAGAAAACGCTGATTATTTCGAGACATATTTTACCGATTTGAACAACACTAGTAGCATTTTAGAAACGGAAACATTATTAAAACATGTTAAAGATAAAAAATGTAGAATTAAATCGAAATACAAGCCTATACGTACATCAACATATTGTAACATCTGCAGAATTGATTATAAAACTACAGACAGTTTTACCGAGCATAATTCTTCATATCATGGTATTGAAAATGGTTCATATAAGTGTTTTGGTTGTGAAAAGAAATTTAAAAATAGAAAGACTAGATTAGGACATGAGATTAACTTCTGTAAAGGGTTAAAAGATGGCTATAAATGTAATATTTGTAATAAACATCTACCGAAACGCAGGACATATGAAAACCATATGCGCGCACACAGAGACAATGTTAATACAGAGATATCTGATGATATATTTAAGTGCTTAAAATGCTACAAGTTATTTGATACAAAAACAAGTTTAAAGAAACATATGGAAGTACATGAGGCAGAGAAAAAGAATTTTGTTTGTGAAGTAAGTCACTTTTTTTTACACATTTTAATGCAATCTGTGTCTAGTTTAATCTTATACAGATGCCAGAGGTACTATTCTCTTTTTGTTTGGGTAAGGGAACTAGTTTATCATCACCTGCATACGGGGTAACAAAATGACAGCTCAAATACAGGAAAACACTACCCATACCACTGGATGTTTTAGAAAATAATTTACTATGCAAATAAGTATCTAGTAAAAAGTATAACCCATTACTTAGTGATAAAGTTGCCTTCTGATGGAGTTTTTTTAATTAACTATTTCTAGAGTTGTGGGCGCATATTTACTCGGCAGGATTATCTATACAAGCATAAACTGACGCATACAGGTATCAAACAGCATGTATGCCCGCACTGCGGCTTTCGTACAACACAGAAATCTTCCCTAACTGTACATATCAGGTAAGAAATAACTATAATAAGCTTTATCTTATTCTTGTTGACAATTATTTGCAAACTAGCTGTTCTCATGCGACTTCATCCGCATACAATTATAAAAAAAGCATTTATTGTTCATATTTGTCAAATTATCAATTGCAAATGTCAAAATGATATGACATGATGTCAAACCATGGCAACCTTGCTTCCTTGAAGTTGGTAACAACTTATGGTCTCTTTCCCACATTAGGGTTTTCATCCAAAATATTTATTTACCTCCTAAGTTTAATGGTGTGAAATTTGTAGCCTAAAGTGTGACGTAAGTGTAGGGCTTTTTAATAAAAAAAGAGTTATTCGAAAATATGCTTGATTGCTGACATCTTAGGCGACAAAGAAGTGTGTGTTTATGCTTTATTATAATAGTATAGATAATTGAAATGCTAGCTTTCTCCCGTCACTCCGTCTTTTTGAAAATAAAACAAAAGTAAGTAGCCTATGTGTTCTTTCAGACTATCCTCTACATCTATGCCAAATTTCATCGAGATCCATCTACCAGTTTAGGCTACAAACTCTAACAAACATTCATCTAAACTTTCGCATTTATATTATTAGTATGATAAGCGATAGCTTTGAGGATCTATTCATAGATAGTGTATATAGTAAAAGATTAAGAAATAAAAGTAATTTTTATAGTTTGTCTAAATAATTTAGATTAGTTTGATTAGATTTCGCTATTATTCCTGTCATCGCTAAATTCTCTACACTATAACCAATACTAAAATTGTCCTCTAAATTAGTGAAGAAGATAATAATAATTTTAGATAAGTTTGATAATTATTTAAACTGAATATCGATAGTTCAAAATTGTTTGCTATGTGTGTTTGTTTCGACACTACGATACCTGTCTATTAAGTATGGCATTTAACTTTATATAAATTAAATTCGGTCCTTCATAGACGTCATTTATCAAACTAATCTAAATTATTTAAAAACACTATAACGGAGATATGTGTATTGGTAAAATATGTACAGAAAAAGACATAGAAAATATGGTGACATCGACAATGTGTTCTAATTTCAAATAATTTAAAATCTTCTTTTCTAATGGCTTGAGACATGAAAACATGTAAAAACACCTTGAACAGATAGCTTTAATTATGTGAAAGATATCTCAAGTAGAGTGTCTATGCCTTTATATTATTTTTTAATCTCTTTTGTACTGGCTTACTCATCATCCACTTGCCCTTATCCCTTATGGAGGGTCGGCACAGTATGTGCTGCTCTTTCATACATCTCTATCAGCCGTCATACCTGAATCCACTCCCTTCTTAAGAAGGGAAGGAAGGAAGATCTTTCACACAATCCATCCATACTTTCTTCGGTCTTCCTCTTCCTTTGTAGCCAACTGTTACTGGTTTACTGGCATAAGTATTATAAAATACTTTTGCAGAAAGCACACAGGCGAGCGTCCGTACGTATGTGATGTTTGTCCTCAACGATGCGTCTCCAGTTCCAATCTCCGCGCGCATCGTCGACGGCATCTCGGTCTAAAGAACTATGAGGTAACCTGACCCTAGACAATATATATTATGTTACAAAATAATAGTAATGGAAGTAGTGGTGAGGGTAGTTTCATAAGTCTGCAAGGAGTGAGGCTTAGTCTTAGCTCTTTAGCCGTCAGTAGCTAGTACATTTCTAGTCGTCACCGCGGAACATTCGTTTTTTTTTCTTTGTTGCTCTAGTGTATTTGTTTTAAAGTAATTCACCAGTATTGCTCATATTACCGCTCGACTGTCATATTAAAAAAAAAGTCATTCGTATCGAAATTTATAACAAATAATAATCATAAAAAGTGGAAATGGAGTGTGGAGGTACACTGGTAGAGGTAGACATAGAAAGAGATATATTAAATTAAACAAACAGGTTCACTGTTCAAATAGCAGCCATTTCTTGCCGTGCCTTTTAACTTATTTTATTTAAATTATCAGATATTATTAGAGGAAGTTTGAGAGTAGCCCCAGTGGTAGAGAAGGTAGGGAGTAAGAGGAGCATGGGGGCATGTTATGAGGAGGGATAAATCGCATGTAAAAGAACGTTAGTTATGAGTGTGGTACACCGGTAGTGGTAGACCTAAAAAGAGATGGATTGTGTGAAAGATGACATGATCACCTTCTTGATTGACTGAGAAGATGGAAGAAGATGGATGATAGAGTTATGTGGAGGACAAAAACCTGTTGCACACTACGGGAGTATGATAATGACCATGAAATTAATAACCATAGACAAACTACTACAATCTCATTTATTTTTAAATCTAATTTTGAAATTAAATAAATTGCATAATGTCAGACATGGCGGCCATTGTGTAACCATTTTTAGTTATTTTGTGGAAATTAAGAAATGTGAGATGTTATTGCAAAATAAGATAACATATTCTTTAAAAATGGCTTATAAAAGAAATATTTTTGTATTAACGAGTTTTCATGATAAAAGTGCAGTTTGTCTATGGTTGAAATATATTCTATACTAATGTAATAAAGGGGAAATATTGGTGTTTTTGTATGTATTGAAATAACTCATCTTCTGGACCGATTTTAAAAATACTTTCACCATTATAAGCTATTGTCTTATAATATACTTTTTAATGGTGAAAGAATTTTTAAGATAGGACCAATAGTTTTTTAACAATTTCAATACATAAAAAATACAAATCTTTTCTCTTTACAATATTATTATTATACTAGCGGTTGCTCGCGACTTTGCTCGTGTGAAATTAAATAATAAGAAAAAAATCTATGTTACTCACAGATAATGAATTTTTGAAATAGTTCCAGTAGTTTTTGAGAATACATACAAAAATACAAATCTTTCCTATTTACAATATTATTATTAAAATTTAACTGTCTTGTTGGTGATGTTATTATCTATACTTCCATACTAATATTATAAAGAGGAAAACTTTGTTTGTAATGAATAGGCTCAAAAACTACTTCGTCGATTTTAAAAATTCTTTCACCGTTAGACAACAATTTATCTTTTTTTTATAAAATATGGTAGCAAACGAGCAAGCGGCCACCTGAATCTGCGATAATAGCGAAGCGACCGCTACCCATAGGCATCCACAATTGCAGATGCGTTGCCTACCCCTATCCGACGGAGGAGGAGACGCACATAAAGATACTTCCCCTTCCTATCCATCTCCTCCATCGTCAAATCCACTTCCTCTTCCCATCCTCTCCTTATAAGAAAGGGATGGTAAAGGGAAAGGGGCTTATATTAGGCAATTTATCTGTGAGTAACATAGGCTATTTTTTTCATTTCTTTATTTTACGTCACGCGTACGAAGTCTAAGAAAGCTAGTAGAAAATAATTCTATTCTCCGGTTTGAAAGGACCATATTTACTTCTCTTCAGTGTACGATTTGCAGTAAGAAGTTTGGTTACAAGGTAAGTTTAGAGGAACACGTGGCGTCGTCCCACGAGCGGTCGCACAGCCACGCGTGCGCGCAGTGCGGCGCCGCCTACACACGCCCGCGTGGCTTGAGACGACATCTACTCAAACATACAAAAAATACCGATGTAGATAATGAAAATGTTCAAAAAGAACCGGAGACTCAATTTGTTGTATGACTGATTAAAAAATATAAAAGTTTATGGTTGTTTTATTTTAAGTCTTGAGATTTCAAAGGACGTCATGTTAACGATGACAAACATCATCATCATCAACTTGCCCTCATCCCTTACGGAAGGTCGGCACAGTACATCTCTATCAGCCGTCATATCTGAATCTTTTTTTTTTTTTATAACATAAGGTGGCAAACGAGCAAGCGGCCACCTGAATCCGCCAAAATGGCGAAGCGACCGCTGCCCATAGACATCCACAATTGCAGATGCGTTGCCTACCCTTATCCGACAGAAGAGGAGACGCACATAAAGAGGATATCTCCCCTTCCTATGTATCTCCTCCTCCGTCAAATCCACTTCGTCTTCCCATCCTCTCCTTATAAGAAAAGGGTGGTAAAGAGAAAGGGACTTAAATTAGGCCTCCGGCACCACACTCATCAGACGAAACACGGAATTGTTTCCATTTCACGCCTGTCTTCTGTGTGGTCGTGGTATTACTGGGGGCGTGCCGGCCTATTCGTGCTAAGATGTTAAAGCGGGCACTACCACTGTCATACTACTACTATCTACTCCTTTCTTAAGCAATCCTCTTTCACACAATCCATCTATACTTTCTTAGGTCTTCCTCTACCTTTGTAGCCATCCACATTTAGTCTTAATAATTTCTGGTTTCTCCACCACTGGTGCTACTTTCAAACTTTCTCGAATGCACACATTCTTAACTTTATCCATTCTTGTCACGCCACACATCCATCTTAACATACGCATCTCAGCCGCATGCAATCTCCTTTCATCCGCAACTTTGGTAACGATGACAACAAAAAGACATTTTCCCTTCCTATGCGTCTACTCTACCTTCAAATCCACTTTTTTTCTCATCCTTTCCTCTTGAGAAAAGGGTGGAAAGGGACTAAAATTAGGCCTCCGGCACCACACTTATAAAACCATAGAATAAAAACAAAACCATAGAGCTGATCTACAGTTACGTAATGAATAGAGTATTTTTTCAACATTTTGCAACATATGTTGAATAGAAAAAAGCCTTTGAGTCAGTTGCAATAAAACACCTCTGTAACTAAATAACATCTAAATATATAGGAGATAATACAATTAGAAGAACCGGGAAAAACTTTGTAAATTTTATTAACAAAAAAACTTGTACAATCATGTACTTACAAATGTATTAACAAAGATAACGATCAAAATTAAAAAAAAAGCATTTGGAATGTAATAGCAAAAAAACATTAATCCAATCCATTCGTCCATAGTAATAAATATTTAAACTAAATTTTATTCTTATATTTAGTTTGTTCATAATAAAATCATATAAATCATAGAGTACGAAGTCATTTTTTGTCCAAAAAAATAAGGCAAAAGATAATAATCATTCTGCCACAAATGTCAAAGTTTCGATTTGTTATCCAAGATGAATTTAGAAATGTCATCCGCCATACAACCGGGGTCGTTTAAATGTACATCATGGCCGCCGGGTACTATTTTATATTTAAAATTATTATGAGGCCACGCGGAAGGATCTCTTAGAAATGGTACATCATCGTATGTACCCAATTTTATCATATCCTCAGCTAATATAGCGAAAGTAGGCGTTGTAGGGGCAGTGTAGATTTTCTTTAAAAATTCACTGGGGAAAGGTAGAAGGGTAACGTGCTTCATACGTTGATCATACGTGAATCTGGAATTGAATATATTCGTTTTATACAAAACAGATTAGTGTTCATACTTACATATATTCATTACATAGCTTTCCCCGCGACCACGACTGCGTAAAATTAAAAAAAAGTAGCCTATGTGTTCTTCCAGACTATCCTCTACATCTATGCCTAATTTCATTGAGATCCATTCAGATCATCCATCAGAACTTTCACATTTATAATATTAGTATGATTACATAGCTTTCGCCCGCGACTTCGATTGCGTGGAATCAAAAGAAAAAACAAAAGTAAGTAGCCTATCTGTTCTCCCAAACTATTCTCTACATCAGGGGTGGCGAACATTTATGCATCAGTGTCATTTTTTTAAGAAATGTTTAATGCAGTCTTAGATGTGCCATTGAATAATTTTGATTCCATGGTGCAAATACTAGTGTTTTTATAATTATCGACGTGCCCAAAATTATTTCGTGTGCCATTTATGGCACGCGTGTCAATTTAATCGAAATCCGTTCAGCAGTTTAGGCTACAAAGTCTAAAAAAACATCTATCTATCTAAACAGCGGCATAAGCACGGTCATACCTGTACAATCCGTCCCCAGCTGGTTCAATCATTCTCTCCAATTGGTGTTTCAAAGCCTCATCAGTTAAACCTTGAACGTTTTTCACTAACTCTTTTATCTGAAATGAAAAAAAAAACGGTTGAAGAACTAAAAAAAGTTTTGACGTCCACGTATTCACACAAGACGATTAGTTAAAGCTTGAAAAAAATTATAACTTTTTTACGCTTTAAATATCCGAGTCTAATTTTTGTCCATTTGAAAAAAAAAATAAGATTTAAATCTTGTTAAAGATTGTTAACAATCCATGTTGTCAATCAAAAGTCCAAACGAATATTTAAGTAGTTACTTTTAATTTTTTTGCATTTTCATTTGAATCTTGGAAAATTTCGGTAAATTTCCAGAAATGTCGATCGTTTTTTAACAACAAAAAAAGTAAAAAAAAACCTTCTCCAATGTATATTTTGGCGCCGTTTCAACGCCAGCGTTATGTTTTTTATAACTATCTTCTGTATAATAATTCCCGTAGTAATAATGATACCATTCGGCAATAGTCCCGGTGGCGTCAGTATTGTAAGCGGGAATTGGATCTAATTCCACCATCTTCGTCACACGTCCGGGGTACGCGATGTTGAAATATTTACCTACAAAAACACTGTTTATATAAAAAACAAAATGATTGTACAATCAGCAACATTATTAAGATACAGAAAAGCTGTCGGTTTAAGAAATATTAGCACTAGCTGCTGCTCGAGACTTCGTCCGCTTGAAATGAGGTCATAGGAGTCAAAATGAGATTATACAGTTATGCGATAGTTTAGTCAAAGGTGTACGCATGCTCTTAGCTATTGGATGACACAAACATACAGACATAACAATGTTCATACGCGCGTAAATTATCGCCCTAATCCAATAAGATAAAGAAAAGAAACAATAAAAAAATAAGTACTACAAACAACTACATACCAATAGCTGCCCCTAAAGAATGTCCAATATATATAAAATTCTTCCATTTATAATATTCAACAACCGTTAGGACTGATGGTACTAAATCCTGTACAGAAAACCTCACTCCCAAAGGGAGAGTGTCCGAGGATCCATTCCCAGGTATATCCAGAGCCACGTAGAAAAAACAATCTGGTAACATCAGCACTAAAGGCCTGAATGCTGTAGATGGTTCCATTCTCCCAGGACATAATAATACTGGTGGGTTTAACGGATCACCCCAGGTTAACGCTAAAAACAAAAGATTCCTTACATCAATAATGTAGATTTATGGGCAAATTGACCAATTGCCGTAATCATAAAAATATCACTAAAGTATTCTGTGTCAGTAGTAGATTTTTTTAAATATCAGTGGAGAAGATAAAAGAACTTCAATAGCACAATGGTTTTAGTTTTAGTGCTACAAGCTTCCTAGGAGAGATTTTTACGACACTCTCTTTTTTAACAATTTTGGCGTAGGATGGTATCGTAGTTAACAGTATTACGTGAGACTGTAATTCACAGTTCTGTTGCTTCTCTTTCTGTTAAGGGCCCTGGGTGGTCGCCCAGTTCATAGTCATATCTTAGCACAAGACTAGAGCGTAATTGGTTATAAGGAATTTTACTTAACTAACATTAATCTGCTTATATCCTATTATTATAATAAATTCGTTGAGATGGATGGATGTATGTTAGGTATCTACAAACCGGCTTAAAGAATATCGATTAAAGACAGACGTAGAACGTAATCCGAAGTAACACTTAGGGTATTTGCTATTTTTTTATTCCAAGGAAAATGTCGCGTGCAAAAGTTAGTTAAAAATAATTTACCAGTCAGATTTCCCCATGGTGCTTTTATATTCACAGCCTTTTCCGTTTTCTCGAGTGATTTCATTGCACTAAAATAAAATAATATTATTAAATTGTCGATAAGTACTGTGATTGTTGTGAAACTGACAATCTTATTTATACACAGAATTAAAAATACAATAAAAAAGTCAACTTTATTACTACGTTTCAAGGTTTGATTTTTTGCATTATAACGTCTGCAAACTGAATATCGCAAGTATAATTTATTATTCGCTGGTGTAAAATGTCAGGTTTTCTAACATTACGCTATTAAATATGAAGTAAATGAATTATTTTAAATTAATTTTCTCTACTCCGTATTAAAATGTTGTTGGAAATTTTATAAAAATTTACATTTACGGAAAGCACAAATAATAATATATTCTTTTACATGTTATGATTTTTTTGGCCACTGTCTTTTCATTGTTCGAAAATCAGTCGGTGTTTCAGAATACATTAGGCACTTTAGCCAAACCTCTCAATAGTGAACAGGCTCCCATGGGATGCTGTTTTTTTTTATTACCGCAAGGGAGCGAGGTCTTAGTGGCATAACGAAGCCAGGAGCTAGAGGGGGAGCCATCCTTCCTAGAGAGTCGGAGAATTTAAATATAAACTATTTTGAATTAGGTTCTAGAATGCTAACGATCCCTATAAATCCACATAGATAACTCAAAAAGTACTATATTAAAAGTTGGAACACATGCTGACAATTTCTTTTATATAAATAATAATTTTACGACTAGCTCCCTCATATTACGTTATTTAATTCAAATTGTGGGTGGCTGAAAGGTAACCACAGATTAAGTTACCATTTAAAAAGCTGCATATAAAAATTAATGCTCACGTTTTATTATCTGTTAAAATTTGAGCACCATAGACTATGGACTCCAAGCACAAATGTCACTTTGTTAATTTAATTTTTCATCATTTTCCATGATTAATAAGAATTAAAGTAATAACTTTAATATGTGTTGTGAAAACAATTGTTAAATTACTTACACTTGCAATAATCTTGTTAACTTCATGACAATCCAATTTAATAACAAAACACTGTTCCATATATTTCTAGGTTACTACATAAATAATGACACTGAAGACGTAAGACATGAAAAACAAAACACATAACACATTTAAATATTTAATAACATACCTATTTCCGTATAACATCCGAAACTTATATGAAAATCTACGATTTTTTCTTATCTCAACAAAAAGTGATAATTTAATCGACTGTCATTTATGTCGCATCATATTTATCTGACTCTATATTCAAATTCAAAGGCATAAAGTAGTTTTTCGTTTAAAGCCAATAAGAATGATTAATTAAATTATAAATAGGATGAATAAACAACTTTATTTCAATGGAGTAAAATTGCATTTACAATATCATAGCGAATTTTTAATGTCTTACTCGACTAACAATAGTGTCGACTCGTTTTTTTCTTTAAAAGAAAAGAGGATGGCAATATTTGACACAAACTGACACTGAATATTGGATTTAACCAATTATCGAATTACGTAACTATAACTGCGTTTGTACTATAATTGTTTTTTGTTGTCCCTGTCTTTAAAAGGGAATTTTAAAGGATAACAATATGTGAAACGCTCACTAGAAAAAGAACGCACATATTACTTACGTTTAAAAATTATAAATTCAAACTGTGTTGAAACATCTTTTGCTTCACCTTTTTATTGTTTTATAAGTCATGATACGTTCAAAGTCCACTAAAAATCGATAATTTTAGAATACGCCAATATCTGAATTCGTTAGATATAAAATAAAATTCCTTACGATATGCCTATCGATCAGACTAACAAGGTTCAATTTGCCGATGACATAAGGAGCAAAATAATGCTGTAATACCCCAAAAAATACAGTTAGACAAAGTTTAATAAACAGCCTATGTTACTCACTGATTTCGTAGCTTTTTAATAGTAAAAGATTTTATTTAAATCGTCTCAGTAATATTAGAGTTATTTCAATACTTGTATGTAAATACAAATCATTCCTCTTTAGTAGACACTAGCTGTTGCTTGCAAAAATATTTACACCCTAAGTTCAATGGCGTGAAAATATATAGCTTAAAGCGTGACGTAAGTGTAGGGCTTTTTATTAAAAAAAGATTAATTCAAAAATATGCTGTAATAGCTGAGATCTTAGGCAACAAAGAAGTGTGCGTTTACGCTTTATTATAATAAGTATAGATAAAGTAAATAACGACATCTATTGGCAATTAATCTCAATACAAAGAAAAATAAACAACATACGGAATACAATTTAAATCTTGATTGTAAAAAATGAATGTAATCACAGATTATATATGTGTAGCAATTATTTATTACGTCAATATGACATTTCCTTTTGACAAATTAAGGTTATGTTTCTAGTTTCAATTAGGTTTTGTTATCACCAAGTTATCACTTATCAGTATTCAGGTTTTAGTCAATACCATTTGGTTATTTATCATGCGAAGAGATTGTAATGTATAGATATGCGGAAATAAATGTGTTTTATAGTAATTGCTCAATTTATAACAGAAGTGGATAATCAATAAAACATTTGTTTTTAAATTTTAACCAATCAAGTGTTAAATGAATAATCGTTTTTAATATTTTTCCTTGTTTTATTGTATATAATATACAATGTCTTTGGTGGAAAATGAATGGTTTATTCAAGCGCCATGGGGCAAAATATGCAGTAAGTAAATAATTGAAATCGAGTTTCCAAGTTGGATTAACAATCACCATGTCATGGTTCAAAGGTCATTAAATACAGGAAAATATGTTATACTAGACGAACTTTTAATACATTTAGCAAACTGAGAACTTGGGATCAAGGAAATTAATGAAAAAATTTTAAACTGTTGACTATCTAATTTCTCTTATAATGTTACTGGCAAAGATATTATTTAAGAAATGAATAAAACATATCAAAACAATTAAAAGTATGTTCTGTTTTTAAAAAAAATCTTAACATTTTTAAAAGTTGCCAGTATTTTCCAGTACCCAGGAGGTTCAATATTTATTTTAATTTCAGTTGTCGCTTGGGGTGATTGTATGGATCCTCCTGTTCTCGTCTGTCATGGCAACATAGATTCGGCTGCCAGTTTTAGACCACTCATATCATTATTACCAAAAAAGTTCTATTATGTCGGTTAGTATGAATTGTTCCAAATTTAAACTTTAGAGTTAAGAAAACAAATATTTAATTAACAATTAACTATAACCCACTATTTGGGTTCAGAGTTTACTCAAGTTAGATGACTAGGCCATACTTAAACTCTAGCATAGTGCTTGTTGACTACATGTATTTAGTTTATTTTATTTCTGCGGTGTCCGCAGGTTTGCATGATGTTTTCCTTTGCTGTAAGAAAGTCGGATAAAGCTAAATATTATAAATGTCAAAATTTTGATGGATAGATGTTTGTTAGAGTTTGTAGCATTTGCTGAATGGATCTCTATGTTTGTCATAAATGTAGAGGATAGTCTGGAAGAACACAAGGGCAACTAATCTCGGGAATTGTTACAGTTCCCGTGGGTTACATTAGTTTTGTTTTTCATGTTTACTCAATAATTCTGGGATAGTTCAAGATATCTTATTGTAATATGGTAAAGATATAAAACAAAGTCTGGAGTAACACATGGGATATGGTTTCCCGAAAAATATAAGGATTCCGAGGGAAGCGTAGTGATTTGTTTTTGTATGTTTGTTAATACTGCGCGGACAAAGTCGCGGGCAACAGCTAGTATTAAATATTTCACTTCGTTATCGCCGCTTGCAATCGGATAGACGTCTAAATTTGAAAGGAATTTGTACTTTGCGTAGTTTTATCAGTTATTATACTATCGCAGACTTTTCTTTAGAAATTTTTGATATCTACAATTCTTTCGTACATCATTTTTATATGTCTCTAACGGTTTAGGCAGCGTAAGCCGAGAAAAGTTAAAATTTAGTTTTTTAGCGCCGCGATCCAGAAATACGCTGTTTATTAATGATTCCTAAACATTACTAATAATAGTATAGCCTATGTTACTTAGAGATAAATTACCATTCTGATGGTTAACGAATTTTTAGAATCGACCTAGTATTTTTTACGTGAATCAAATACATAGAAAAATCCAAATCTTTCCTCTTTATATTAGTATAGACTAGATGTTGGTCGCGACTTCGTCCTCATAGAGCTAAAAAAGCAAAAAATATAGCCTATATTACTCAGTGATAATATAGCTTTTTAGTGGTGAAAGAATTTGTGAAATCGGTCCAGTAGTTTTTGAGTTATTTCAAAAATACAAATGTTTCATCATAATATCAGTATAGAAGACATTACATGTTTAAATGACTTTCAGTATTCGGCCGTTAGTCACTTAATACTTTGGACTTTGAAGTTTGAAACACTGATAGTGGCGATGATTATATGTTATCATAAACAATCATTCAAGGATAAAACAAGAATAATCTTTTATTACTACCATAATTACAATAATTCGTTTTAACAAAATAAATTTATACTTTTAACAGTGGTAGTGCCCGCTTTAACATCTTAGCACTGCAGATCCGGCACGCCCGGTGTAATACCACGACCACACAGAAGATAGGCGTGAAATGGAAGCAATTCCGTGTTTCGTCTGATGAGTGTGGTGCCGAAGGCCTAATTTAAGTCCCTTTCTCTTTACCACCCTTTTCTTATAAGGAGAGGTTGGGAAGACGAAGTGGATTTGATAGTGGAGGAGATGCATAGGAAAGGAAAATATCCTCTTTATGTGCGTCTCCTCCTCCGTCGAATAAGGGTAGGCAACGCATCTGCAATGGGGATGTTTCCTAATGTTACAAATCGAAATAAAGTTATGTTTAATATTTTAAAGACAGCATTTTATAACCTATAATAACATTTAGAGACCTTGAATGTTTGTCTCAAATTAAATATAAATTTAAAACGCTGCAATATTTTTTACCCTCCATTACTCGATCTCAAACACCAATGACGTCACTTTCTTGCATATAACATGGCAGTGTGACCAACTTCAGTGAATGTCAGTGCATTTTGTAGTTATATTTTTTTCTAAATGATTGTAATAATTGAGTTTGCGTGTTTTATATTATGAGGACTCCATTATTGAGTGTTTTTATAATTACGACATAAGTTATGAGCAAAACATTTTATGAATATTACAAACGAAAAATATATCAAAATTCATAAGAGTAGCTTATAGTACAATTTAATTTATACCTGGTCACACTGGTGTAGGACGCAGTCACTGTTTACACACAAACATAATCTTCCACGAGAAGCAACAAGTGTAATTAATACGTTAAAAGTATCACCTTCTGTTCATTTTGGTTTTTTCATTTTTATCTCCATTACTAAAAACAACTTTAGACAACAAAGATTTACGAGTATTATCAATCAATGGTTCTTTCAAATTGACAGTGACAGGCCGTGACGCGAGGTTCGTATGCAAAGAAGTGACGTCATGGGACGTTTTGGGGGGAAATGAAAGAGTTGTTTTTATTTACGTGTTTTTTTATTGAAATAATGAGTATTATATTTTATACTATTTTTTTTCGTGTTCATACATGGTTTATCTACAAAATAAAGGCTATTCCAAAAATTAGGAAACATCCCCATTGCGGATGTATATGGCCAGCAGTCGCTTCGCCATTTTGGCGATTTCCAGTGGCCGCTTGCTCGTTTGCCACCTTATGTTATAAAAAAAAATACTACTAGCAGATTTCCGCAACTTCGTCTGCACAATACATATGAACTATGAAAAACAAAAAACTATGTTTTCCACGGGAACTCGACATTTTTCGAGGAACTTTACGTCGTGTGTTATTGCAGAAGGTGTTTTATATCTGTGCCAAATTGCAATAAGATATTTTGAACCGTTGGAGAAGTTTCAAGTGAACATTATTATTGTATCCCACGGGAACCAGAACTATTTCCGGGGTCAAAAGTAGCCTATGTGTTCTCTTAAACTCTCCTCTACATCTATGTCAAATTTCATAGAAATCTGTTTAAGATAGAAACTCTAACATTTAAACTTTCGAATTTGTAGTATTACTAGCTTTCGTCCGCGAATCCGTCCGCGTGTAATTAAAAAAAAAGTAAGAAGCATATGTGTTCTAACAGACTATACTCTACGTCTATGCCAAATTTCATCGAGATTCGTTCAGCAGTTTAGGCTACACTGACGAAGATAAATCCTTCTATCTTAACTTCTCTTCATACAATTTTCCATCTAAACTTTCGCATTTATAATAATAGTAAGAAGTAAGAATAAGATTAGTTAAATTATATAACAACCATTACTGTCCTATGGGCGTCGCCAATTTTTGCTTAATCTAGGGGGGTGAATTGGGGGTAGGAAGCTACCATATAACTTGAAGTTTTTTATAACAATTGTACACTTTTCGATTCAATAGTGCTCCCTATCTTTGGCGGCGCCTATACATCAAGCATGTTGCCAGTAGCTGGCATTCAAGTGCCACCTATTTGTGTATTCCCGATCTAACAGTGTTATACCGTACAGGTATGGAATTACCGGGGAACGGGAAGTCGGACCCATTCCCTCCAGGAGTGTTGTTTAGCTCTCACGACATACTTTATTCAATAGTGGTGGTTGTTCGACATTTCCGTTGGGAGAAATTTATCTATCTCGCACATTCCTTCGGCAGTAGCTTGGGTATGTAATTTTTTCTTTTTTTTTATAATATAAGGTGGCAAACGAGTAAGCAGCCACCTGAGTCAGCCGAAATGGCGAAGGGACTGCTACCCAGACATCCGCAATTGCAGATACGTTGCCTACCCTTCATTGACGGAGGAGGAGACGCACATAATGACTCTTCCACTTTGCCTTTCCATCCTCTCCTCTTTAAAAAGGGTGGAAATGGATAGGGTGGATATTATTGTAAAATAACTCACTTCCGTCAACAGGTAGGTTTTACACCTCTCTGCCTGACCTTGCCTGACCTTTTAAAGCATCGATTGAAATTAATGAATCAATAAAGAATTCTTGAATCATCATCTCCCCAGCCTTATCCTACTCCCGTAAGGTCGGCGCACCGGGTTTTCGTCCTCCAAATAACTCTATCATACGTCATCTCAGTCACTCCCTTCTTGATCATGTCACCTTTCACACAATCCATCTCTTTCTATGTCTACCTCTACCGGTGTACCACACTCATAACTAACGTCCGTCTTGTTACATGCGATTCATCCCTCATAACATGCCCATGCCACTCTAACCTTCAATGAAGACTTTATGAATACGATTCGAATTATATTATGAATCCGTTCGATCTTTTTGGAACATCCTTATTAAAACGACTTTCAAACAATATGTTCTCAAAAATCACATTAAAAATAATTTTACTACACTATTTTAAATTTGTTTTTTTTAGGCAAAATGTACGCAATGGCATTCCCTGATAAGCTGACGAAAATAATTGAATTAGATCCGATTACAGTAAACGGAGTTATGGATCATGAAAACTACGCAAAATGGTAATTTTTATATATCTATACATATATATCTTACATCTTACTTACGAGTATATCTTACTAATATTGTAAATGCGAAAGTTTAGATGGATGGATGGATGTTTGTTGACCTTGTAGCCTAAACGGCTGAATAGATTTTGATGAAATTTGGTATACATGTAGATGGTAGTCTGGTAGGACACATAGGCTATTCATTTTTGTTTTTTTTTTTAATTCCTCGCGGACAGAGTCGCGGACGAAAACTTTGTGTGTTTGATTGTAATGAATAGGCTCGAAAACTATTGGGCAGATTTTAAAAAATCTTTCACCGTTTAAAGCTACGTTAGTACTGAGCTTAGGACATTTTTTTGAAATTTTTTTTTTTTTTTAAATTGTAAAAGTCGCGAAGAACATATACTAATACGAGTATACTAATATTATAAATGCGAAAGTTTAGATGGATGGATGGATGGATGGATGTTTGTTAGAGTTTGTAGCTTAAACGGCTGAACGGATTTCGATGAAATTTGGTATAGACGTAGAGGATGGTCTGGAAGAACACATAGACTACTCACTTTTGTTTTTTTTTAATACCACGCGGTCGGAGTCGCGGGCGAAAGCTAGTATGTAAATAAAAACAGATTCCGCAAAGTGTATATTTGCGTTATACGAAAATCGTATACATAAAAAAATGTCTGTCGTTCTGTTCGCAAGCCGTGTTTGTTATGGGTAATCTTAGAAACTGCTAAGCCCATTATGACGGGACTTTCAAAGACGAGTGAAAGATACAGTGTGAATATGTTAAAGCGGGCTCTACCACTGTTTAATACTTATAGCTTTTGCCTTCGACTAGGTGACTTGACTTGTAATCTACAGGTCTTGGGTTCGAATCCCGCCGTACCAATGGGATTTCCGATTTTTCAAATTTTCATATGTACATAATTTACCCGACGTTCTTACGGTGAAGGAAAACATCGTTGTGCACATATCGGCGAAGAAATTCAAAGATATGTGCGAAGTCAACCCGCAGTGCAGCGTGGTTGACTATGGCCTAGTCACTTAGGGTAGGCTCCGAGCCCCTCGGTGGGGACATATAGTGAGCTGGTTATGATGATGATGTCTGAATTAAAAAAAAACAAAAGTAAGTAGCCTATGTGTTCCGGACTATACTGTACATCTATACTAAATCGAACCCTTCACCCGTTTAGGCTACAAAAATACATAAAATCTTCCCATTTATAATCTAGAAAGAATTTCTGTAATATCTATGTTTTTTAAATATATTTCCAGGTATCAGAGATCTTATCACGAATATGTTCAAAATTATAAAAAATATAATCTACCTAAGGAATATGGACCCAAATATAAACATGAAGAGGTGAGAATTAAGTCACCATCTTGCTTCTGCATTTAATTTTTTACATTTGCTGTTAGCATACAACTAGCTGTTCCCGTGCGGCCTCATCCGCATGAAATTATGAAAACTATATTTTGTTCATGTCAAATTCTCAATTGCTAATTTCAAAATGATTACCATAATAACCTTGTTTCCTTAATGTTGGCAGCTTGTACTTTATAGTCCCTTTCCCACATAAGGTTTTCCAATTTATTTATCCCCTAAGTTTAATAGCGTGAAAATATAGTCTAAAGCGTGTAAATATAGGGTTTTTTTTAAAGAAAGAATTATTAAAAAAATATGCTATGATTGCTGACATCTTATGCCACAAAGTAGTGTGTGTTTACGCTTTTTTATATTACTGTAGATAATAAAGTTTTTATAATTTTTGACGAATGAAGCGGAAGCTAGTATTAGTATAATGAATCCTTAACACCCTCAGCGCCAGACCCTAAGTGTGCGTTTAAAAAATACACAATAATTTTTTTAGTTGGAATGTGTTTTAAACTAATATATCAATTATTGTTTTTCACCCCCGTTTTTCCCCTTTTTTTTCTTGGATTTTTATGCGTGTGACATTTAGATACTCGTGGCTGGAAATGAAAAAAAAATGACTTATTTAAATCCAACAATCTAATATATGGAGTAGTAAAATACAGTTTATGGATACAGTATTTTTTGACCGACTTCCCAAAAGAAGGAGGTACTCAATTCGTCTGTATGTTTTTTTTTTTTTTTTTATGTGTGTTACGGCATAACTCCGCCGCTAGTGGACCGATTTTGATAATTCATTTTTTATCCGAAAGGTAATGCTTGCAGGTGGGTCCTATTTTTTTGTTTGATTTTTGGAGTCAAAGACTACGACGTAGTTAAATAGTTTAGCTCAAAATCGCGCGACGAAATTTCGGGTCATTTTTGCTTCCTTTGCTTACGTAGCCTAATTTTTATTGTGATCAGTACTCTCGCACTAGGCGCAGCCTGTATCCTGTCCTGCTCTTAAGATTAAACAACCGATCGTTAGACGGCAACAAATTAGTTAATAGCCACACTTAAATTTACGTGCCATTTGTTTTAAAAATATAGTTCTAAATTTTTATACAGAAGAATAAAATAAATTAGCTAAAATAGTTGTGAAATTCCTCCCAGGCCACATACACGGTGTCCTAGACACTGACAAAAACACTTGACACCTAAGGTGTTAAATACTAAATACATAAGTCTTCTTCCTTACAGAATAGACTATTTAAAAAGAAAATTTTTTTCTTTTTTCTCTTAATCTATTTAAAATTTACTACCAATTTCAATTTATTTGAAAAGAAAACATGCATCAGGGTTATAAGTTGTTCCCGATTTTACTTAAAAAATATAATATGGAGGTTACTTTCAATAATAACTATTATGTTGTACTGAAAGCAGAAACAAATTTATTTATTATAATAATCGAACAATCAACCTGTTATATACAGTAATATATAAAAGAAATATTAATCATTCACCTGAAAGCAGAAAAATAACATTAAGAGCTGACTGACTACTAATTTTACGTTACATTACAATGCCTCCGCTCATTTGACAGTTCATAAAAAATATAGATACTAAATACAGATACAAAAAGGTTTTACAAAAATAATAGTTTTTTCTCTGTAATTTCAGGCTGTGACTAAATTGATAAAAAATAGACACTTAACTAAAGAGACGGCGGAAGCAACGCTAGAGAGGTGGTCAGAGCCAACAGGAGATGGTCATATCCGGTGAGTTTTAAAACCCAAAAAAGATTGCCATAAGAAAAATTAAAAAAAAAAACAAAATTGTTTTTCCCCTAATATTAAACATCTTTTGTTTGGAAAGAATTTGATTACACTCATATTTAAAACATTTTTTTGATTGAAAATAATGTTTACAAAAATAAATGCAAAATTTTTCGTTTTTACATTTTTTCAGTCAGTTAACTGTTTTTTTTTTAATATTTAAAACCCAAAGAGTCAAGAATGAAAATTGTAATTAAAAAACATTTTTTTACAGATTCACGTTCGATCAACGTTTAAAAATATTCGTCCATTATCAAATATCAGAGGAATTAGCTAAAAAATTATACACAAATATAAAAATTCCCACACTAGCTATACTTACCGATGTATCTATTGATAGAGGGTTGTTTAAAACGACGCCATTTTTTTTAGACGAAAAAGCTTACCCCGCGGGTAATTATAGATTCAGAATTGTCTCTGGTTATCACGACGTTCATGTCGTGAAACCAGAGATTCTAGCACCTTATGTATGTAACTTTTTATTATACGGACTTCAAGGTTTAGATAATAATGCCAAATTGTAATTTTTTTAATACAGCCTAAGGCAAAATTCGATTTTTTTACCTTTAGCATTTAAAGTCACGTGACCAGTTATCTATGAAAAATTGTCGTCCAAGTTTTTACCCAAAGGTTGTAAACCACTGATTTAAAACATTTATATTAGAAAAAATATTTATTTTTATATTGAACATGCTTCATATATACTAATATAATAAAGCGTAAACACACTACTTTGTGTCGTAAGATGTCAGCAATTACAGCATATTTTCGAATAACTCATTTTTAAATAAAAAGCCCTACACTTACGTCACGCTTTAGGCTATATATTTTCACGCTATTAAACTTAGGTGGTGAATAAATTGGAAAAAAACAAATGTTTGAAAGGGGCCATAAACTAGAAGCTGCCAACATCAAGGAAGCCAGGTTGCCATGGTTTGCCATGTCATGTCATTTTGTCATTTGCGATTGATAATCTTTCCATCATTTTATGCAGATAAAACCGCACGGGATCAGCTAGTTATTAATAAGTTTAAAAGCAAAGATAAAAAACACTATATTTATATTTAATATTGAAAACAAAGTCTTGCAATATTATAACTTACGATTTAAGAATGAAATGTCATATTATGTTTCTTCTAGAAATATTAGTAGAATATGCCCTTCTCCTTTGTACCCTTTTATGTAAAAGGAAAGGTTGGGAAGAGAATATATCAGGAGATGGGACGCATAGGTAGAGGAAATATCCACTTTCTTAGGTTATTAGCCACGTAAAACTTGACACACTTGATCTATAGATTATTATATATCTATGGATAGGCCATATATGTGTCTTATGTTTTATGTAGAGGTCTACAATATAGTATTATCAGAGTTGGTAATCATACTTCATCTTACTTCTTACTGATATTATAAATGTGACAGTTTAGATGGATGGATGTTTTTTAGAGTATGTAGCCTAAACGGCTGAAAGGATTCCGATGAAATTTGTCACAGACGTAGAGAATAATCTGGAAGAACAGAGGCTGACTTTTGTGTTTTTTTTAATTCCCGGACAAAGTCTTCCTTCGTGTAGATTACAAGATGAAAAATTTAAACTACAGGGGTACAAAACATTTTTGTAAAGTATTCATTTATGGCGTTTTAAAACATAAAATGTCAATTGCAGTTGTATATTTCTTTTGTTATTTTATTAATCTATGATTCCTAAAGTTCCAGTTACACTGGCTTTTATTTCTTTTGTATTTCTATATTTGCATTTATATTACCAGCTTCAGAATAACTTTGAAAATCTACTTATTGTGACACAGTTTGGAGAATGTGAAGGGTACACAGGTAGAGGTAGACATAGAAAGAGATGGATTGCGTGAAAGGTGAAATGAAGAAGGGAACGATGTCTGAGATGACGTATGATAGAGTTATTTGGAGGAAAACCTGTTGCACACTACGGGAGTAGGATAAGGTAGAGGAGGTGATGAAGTGATACACAGTTTGTGTTTGGTTTATACAGATTTTTTTGTGTATTAAATATTTTCCATTGGTCCAAATCAAATCTATTTATAGAGATAATTTTTATGTACTTAATTTACGTACTAGGATATAAGATATTCGTGGTTAAGGTTAGTATCGACTAAAAAGGGCAAATAAGGTTCTATTTTTTACGCAATTTTTGTTAATATTTTAGGTTTAATTTTAGTAAATGTCAGTTTACACAATCAAAACACCTGAACACTACAATTAATTAAAAAAATACTATGACAGTGAAAAAATACGATATCTTTTTTCAGTCGCGTAAAAGCGTGCGTACATCTTTAAATAAAATAAAATAAAATAATGCCTAATCCTTGTCAACATTACAATTATGAATAATAAAAAAAAACGTAATCAAACACAAAATAATAAAATTGAAAAAAAAGAAATATTTAAAATTAGCGTTGCAATGCTGACTGGATTGGGTCCTCGCTCAGCTATAAATACTGGATGCTCCTATCGAAGTACCAGCGCTGATCTTCCGCGAGAACCCTTGGGATCATCCACACGTCAGTAGTGGCGGATAGGTAGAAATTATCACATACACATGAGTAAAAATAAAATGAAAGAAAAAATTCGTACATAAACATGATATGAAAAATAAAATGTATACAAAACTACAACACAGATTAAAAGAGAAAAAATAATCAAGGGAAGAGATAAAAATTTAAATTTAAAAATAGTAATCGCATAACTGTTATGTCTCTCTTACTACTGTTAGGAATAAAATTAGTACCGTGCTATAGAATTGGCGCAACTCTAGATTATCGGCATAAACGGCACGTCCCTAGCTGACAGCTGTCAATGTCACTAGAAGTATGGATAGATTGGCGCGTAACTTGAGTCTTGACGAGAAGTATTGCTCTGAGTTAAAAGCGACAGTATCAATTAAATAAGTTGTCTAAAACTACGTACTACTACTACGTACTTACGTACTGATTCCTTTGAGTATATATGTACACTACTCGATTTCTAGTGCAACTAAACAGTTGAATTGCTAAAAAATCGACAATCGCACAACTGTCGTGTTTGTTTAATCAACTTTCAGGTTATGTGCAGTTGTTTTAAGTTCTTGGTTGTTCTTAACAAGTCCAAATGTAGAATAAGTTACCAATTAATTTTTTTTTTAAATTGAATTTTAAAAAATCAAGATTCATAATTTACATATATTACTGGTTTTATGGAATAATTATTATTGTTAGAAAATGTAATGTTACCAGATTATATTTTTTGTAAAACCAAAATTATTTTTTTCATAATTATATGAATAAATATTGGAAATATAAATGTTTGTTTTATTTGTGTAATTAAAATTATTATAAAAAATAATAAAAAAACAAAAAATCTGTATAATTCACAGAAAACATTTTATTTTAAGAAGCTTAGAAGTGGTTAAAAAAACGGTTTTAAGTTTATCAAAATATTTATTTAAATATTAAAATACACATTTTTTCATTTATTATAACTTAGTTAGCTAACATTAATTAAAAAATATTCAAATAATACTTTTTTAAGCCATTTTTCACTATTTCTTAATAATAGTGTAAAAAGTCATTAAGCTATATTTTATTTTTTTTGCTGATTGTGAGAAAAAACATTGCAATCCTTTTAAAAACTTAATTTTTTTAAAAAGATAAACGCAATTAACTTATGAGCAAGTAAACATCCACGATTAGGTAAAAAAAATCAACAATATTTTTTTTAAAAACCGTAAAATTTGTTTTTTTTTTCTGACGTTGATATATGATTCGATCAGTGAAATTTAGATTACAAGTATGGATTTCCCTTAAAAAAAGGCTGCCACGATCGTTAAGTTTCAATTGAATTTATTTCTTAATAATCAACTTTTAATATATCTTAAAAACTATTGAGAAATTAGTAAATTTGTTTTAATCATCATTGCCACTATCATCGGACACCTCACCATCGCCAATAAACTCTTCTTCAGCCATATTCCGTCTATTCGCGAAGCTATTTATTTGTAACACTGATGCCATAGCCAATCCAGTTCCCAAACTATACTCTATGGGTTTCAAACTCTCGTCTGCTGTGTCTATGGTCGCGTTCTTTTTTACTCTATGACGTCGAATGTCTTTTAAAATGTCACCTCGTTCGATTAGATCGAAGTCAGATTCACTTTCGGAGGACGATATTTCCAAATCTTTCTTTGAAACTTTGAAATTATCTGGCGAATTATTGTTTAGTTTTTGATTTATTGGTTCGCCGATATTGTGGTTGAATTTGTCTTCTATAACCGGTTTTAATTTTCTATACCACTTTGTTACTACTATAAAATAACTAGTTGCAGTAACCGTTATAAGTTTGGTCTTCAATTTTAAATGTGCATTTGCTTCGTAAATAACTCCAAGTATTTCTTTGTCGTTTATATAAAATTCATTTTTTAATATACATTTCTTTTTATTAAAAACACTGGATTTTTTATTACGTTTAAGTACCAAATGTTTATTTATTGCTTTAAATTTACTTTTTTTCGTTTGGTTTCGTAATATTTTTGATATAAAACCTTTTCTGTCTAAAACTTCTTCGAGTTTTATTTGCCTTGGGAATTCTGGGATCATTTTGAGTTCGGGCATCGTTTTCGCCAACGCCTGTCTCTCTCTTTCTCTCATCACATCTTCTCTTTTCACTAATTTCCTTTTCAGTTCATTTAAAACAAATTTAGTAGCTTCCTTTTCTTTTTTCCCTGGACCAGTTGTTACATCTTCCGCTGCTTGCGTGATGCTATCGTCTTCTGTTTTTACGAAATAAAAAACTTCATCTTTTGTCTCTGGTTCCTTGTCTTCTATTTTTAAAATCTTTTCATCCTCATCTATGCTCTCATTATTGTCAACTTTAGGCACATCATCTAGTTTTCTATGCATCTTTTTTAATCTGATTTGTGAATTTTGTGCAGTCGCCAGACATTTCGTCAGATTGTCTATCAAATCTTCGATATCTTTATTCAGGATTACGACACTTAATTCCTGTTTGTTCAACGCACACGCATCTAGGAACATATCTATACTATTACATTTATTTAGAGCTAATTTCAGTTCGAGAGAAGCTCTAGCTATGTCTGTATGTACGTCGGAATACATCCAAATGTCTTTCACAACTCGACCTGTCTTCGGTTCATCTTTAACACCATAATTCTTTAGTAACCGATACATTCTCTCTAAAGAATTATAATTCTCTCTAAATTCATCTATAAGGTATTCTATAAGTGTTGTGTGAATCCAGTAAATAAGTTCATTGTGGTTTTTACACATTTTTCGAGCATGTGTCGGTGGTGTAAAATGTACCATAGCGATATGTTTAAGTAACGCTGATTGCACTACTAGAAACGCGTGATGAATTTTCTGCAATATACATATAAGATAAGGTAATATTGGGAAAAAAATACTGTAAAGATGAAAGGAGACTACATGTGACAGAAATGCGAATGTTAAGATGGATGTGTGGTAACACGAATGGATAAGATACGAAATGAGTATATTAGAGGAAGTTTGAGTACTCTTTGGCTACTGGCTGGAGGCTGGCTGGCTCTTGGGCTACTGCCCCAGTAGTAGAGAAGGTAAGTAGTAAAAGGTTAGCATGGGGGCATGTTATGAGGAGGGATGAATCGCATGTTACAAGGAGAACGTTAGTTATGAGTGTGGTACACAGGTAGAGGTAGACCTAGAGATGGATGTATTGTGTAAAAGGTGACATGATCAAAAAGGGAGTGATGACTGAGATGACGTATGATAGAGTTACGTGGACGAAAACCTGATGCGCCGACCTTACGGGAGTAGGATAAGGAGATGATGATGATGAAAAAATGGTTTGTCAATTCATTAACTATTGAAATCTGTGTTGAAAAGTTGTCTTGGGAAAAAATGATATTTTTTACTACTACCCACAGAATCCTAGTAATTTTAACCTAGAACCGGTCTGAAAATCTTTCAATTGAAATTATTTTTTATGTTCTTTTATGTTTTTTTTTCTAAAAATGAAAATTTTAATTGGCTCTTCTGAACATTTAAGCTAATTGCGCTTAAAACCAATAGCCTTTCACACATCGTTGCTTGACCTATAGTTAAGTGGTAATATGGTCGAAGGTTAATGGTAACTAGGATAGGCTAACAGTGGTAGAGCCCGCTTTAACATCTTCGCATTAGAGCTCGCCCCAGCAATACCACGACTATACAGAAAACAGGCGTGAAGTGGAAGCAATTCCGCGTGCAGATGAGTGTGGTGCCAGAAGCCTAATTTTAGTCCCTTTCCTTTTCCACCCTTTTCTTAAGAGGGGGTCGGAAGGAAAAGTGGATTTGACTATGGAGACGCATAGGAAGGGGAAATCTTTATGTGCGTCTCCTCCGTCAATGAAGGGTAGGCAACGCTGCAATTGCGGCTGTCTGTGCCGCTTGCTCGTTTGCCAACTTATCTTATAAAAAAATCCATTCACCCTCTTGAAGGCACCTTTTTAATACTTACCAGTAAATTATCGTCTTGATTGTTAACCGCGTCCCAAGCGAGGTCGTCCCACAGCCAGGGCGCGTTCCCGAGTACGGCGGAGGAGGCGCGCGCCGCCAGCACTGAGAGTGCGCTTTGCTGCCGACACAGCATCACGTGTGTCGACTCAATCACTGATGATAATGATTCCCTAACACAAAATTAACTAAGTGGGCATTTTGTATCATAACGAGTATACGTTAGGTGCGGTACACCGGTAGAGGTAGACATAGGAAGAGATGGATTGAAGGGTGACATGATCAAGAAGCGAGTGAATATACCACTGTTATAAGCATCTCCTACAAGAGGACAACAACCCCCCACCCCCCATAGATATTTTAGATGGATATATGTTTATTAGAAGACCAGTCCAGAACTGCTTAACGGATTTATGAAATTTATCACAGATGTAGAATATAGACTGGACTTCCCAAAGGGAGGTTAGTGCCCCTAGTGGATGTTGGTAGAGTGCCCCCTAGTGGATGTTGGTAGAGTGCCCCCTAGTGGATGTTGATAGAGTGGCCCCTAGTGGATGTTGGTAGAGTGCCCCCTAGTGGATGTTGGTAGAGTGCCCCCTAGTGGATGTTTATAGAGTGCCCCCTAGTGGATGTTGATAGAGTGCCCCCTAGTGGATGTTGATAGAGTGCCCCCTTTAAGACCCCAAAATAGGGGGAGGGATTATTGTTCATTTTGAATTGGTTAAGTACAAAAGGGGTGTGCTATAAAATATCGCGATAGGCGAAAAGTTTGGGAATCTCTGGAATTCGTAACTGTTTTTTTATTACTTTTTAGTCAGACAAGGTAAGAAATGCTTACAGCTTAGCATGTAGTGCGGTATATTCCCTGCAGAGGGCGGCTGCACGGCGCGCGAGAGCGAGATAGTCCCGCATGAGAGACAACAGCGCGGGCAAACGACCCCTACACTGTCGCCTGTGTGCCAGCCTCACACATACTGGTAGCAATAAATATGACGCTGTACGGAGTAATGTTGAACGCTGCAAACTGAAAATACATCTATACATATAATAAAATGGGAGTGTATGTAATATCAAAAGAAAAATTCCAGATTTTTTTTTATAACACGAGGTGGCAAACCAGCAAGCGGCCACCTGAATCCACCGAAATGGAAAGCGACCGCTGCCCATAAACAACCGCAATTGCAGATGCGTTGCCTACCCTTAATTGACAGAGGAGGAGACGCACATAAAGAGGACAATTCCCCTTCCTCCATCTCCTCCACCATCAAATCCACTTTTTCCTCCTATCCTTTCCTCTTAAGAAAAGGGTGGAAAGGAAATGGGACTAAAATTAGGCCTCCGGCACCATACTCATCACACGAAACGCGGAATTGCTTCCAGTTCCCGCCTGTTTTCTGTGTGGTCGTGGTATTGCTGGGGGCGAGCCGGCCCATTCGTGCGAAGATGTTAAAGCGGGCACTACCACTCTAAATATCGGAAAGGTGTATTTGCGTTGCTGATAACGAAAATCGCATTTAAAAAATTTTTGTCTGTCTGTCCGCAAGCCGTATTTGTTCCGGGTAATCTCCGCTAGCTGGGCAGATTTCGACCGGACTTTCACTGGAGGGTAGCTTACATAGAAGGGCATATTATAGGCTACGTTTTTTTATTCCGCTAAATAATTATTTTTATATGAATTGAAATAACTCAAAAACTGCTGGGCCATTTTCACAAATACTTTCACTGTTAGAAAGGTAATTTATCTGTAACTTAGACTATATTTTTAATTTTACGTGAAAGAGTCACGAACACCAGCTATCATACTAATATTATAAATGCTAATTAATATTATAAAATAAAAACAGTGGTAGTGCCCGCTTTAACATCTTAGCAGTGCAGGGCCGGTACGCCCTCAGTAATACCACGACCACATACAAGACAGGCGTGAAATGGAAGCAATTCCGTGTACAGTCTGATGAGTGTGGTGCCGGAGGCCTAATTTAAGTCCCTTTCTCTTTACCGCCCTTTTCTTATAAGGAGAGGATGGGAAGGGAAAGTGCATTTCACGAAGGAGGAGATACATAGGAAGGGGAAATATCCTCCTTATGTGCGTCTCCTCCTCTGTCCGATAAGGGTAGGCAACGCATTTGCAATTGCGGATGTCTTCGGGCAGCGGTCGCTTCGCCATTTTGGCGGATTCAGGTGGCTGCTTGCTCGTTTGCCACCTATTGTTATAAAAAAAAATGCCAAAGTTTAGATGGATGTTTGTTAGAGTTTGTAGCCTAAACGACTGAATGGATTTCGATGAAATTTGGTATAGATGTAGAGGATAGGCTGAAAGAACACACTGGCTACCCACTTTTGTTTTTTTTAACGCGAGCGAAAGCTAGTAATACATAAAATATATAGGAGATGTGTTATGAATTATAAAAAAATATATACGCAACAAGAATAAAAAAGTCATAACTTACTCCCGAGGTGGACAGACTGCTATACAAGCAGCTACTAAAGCAGCTGCTGTGACCTGCTCGCCTTTAGTCAACCAGCCACCAGCTTGCCGCACTACAGCTGGAGTCTCCTGTTCTACTTCCGCACAATCCTCTCTGAACAATAACCCACTCTCCAAGATATGTATGATGTTATCTCGACTGTATAGTAACTGGAATTGAAATAAATATGGTTTAATTTAAAATCAATGTGAGCATAAGGGAATTTAGATATGACAGCTGATAAATATGTATGAAAGATTATAATATATAAAATTAACATTGTATACTAATTTATACAATTAGACAAAATTAACAAACAATTTAGAATATCAGGGAATTAAAAAATCTTACCATATTCGGTCTTAATTTTATTGCGATCCATTTTCTTGATAGTAGAGGCGGACTAAAGTCTTGTTTCATAAATAATGCCATGTGGAATTAATAATAATCGCTGTTATTTTTTTTTATACAAACCAGTTGTAGAGTAAATACGGGTATAAACTATAAACTTCTAACGAAATACATCGAATTTCAACTCTAGCTTGGATGTAGAATGTAATCAGTTATTCTATCAGTGTAATGTTCATTTCATATAATAACTTTTTAAAAATATTTCACCACAAAAATACTGTCAGTCCCGATATAATTTTTCTAGTCATTATACGGAGATATTAAGTATAACATTATTGTAATCGTAAACGAAGTCTCTTACGTTGTAATTCTTGTTTTTAAATAAACTTTCTAATAGAACCTTTCATCTAAATCTTATTTATAACCTTTTAACACTTATTTTTATAAACAGCTGATATCTGACACCGGTTATGACAGTGACATTGTGTAAAACTATTTTGACAGTTAACTTTTGGTCCACAGAGTAAATAAAACTTATACATTAATTTCCTGGCCTCGACAAACAGGTAGGCTATTAATAAAAGTATTTTGTGACTTTTTGATATTTGACATTTTGGCGGTGAAGGTAGCGATCGTTACCAGTGGTGAGAACTTCACATAACGACGGAGATAAAATTAACTGTCAGAAACTTCCACGGGCTCGTTCAATTCGAAACGAAACAAATCTCTCTCTTCTTAGCAATGACCCATACATCTATAGAAATCAAGTGATCGAATCATATTTTCTCATTTAAATACTACTTAAAATAATAATACATGTTGATTACATTAGGCAAATATAATAAAATATTCGGATTGATTAGGATTTCCTATTGATCGACCTATTGGAAAAGAAAATTCTGATTGGGCCATCGAGACACACCCAGCAGTTTAAATATTTTTTTATTAGGAACAATCACTAATGTTTTAATGGATATTTAATGAAAAAAGATGGAGAACCCCTAAATATTAAGGAGCATATTACTTTTTATTAAATTGTTAATGGCCAAAACAATTAATAAAAATTAAGATAAACGCGTTAGAAGTAGAACGATTTAATTTTATATAGTCACATAATATTTAACACTTCAATATTATTTGTATTTATTTAAAGTAATATAAAAAAAACAAAACCGACTTCCAAACAAAATACACTAAAAACAAAACAAAATGCACTAAAAACAAAACAAAATACACCAAAAACAAAAT